GGAGGACTTGCTACGTTGGGGAAATTTTTTCGCAATTTTTGGCTTTCAAGGCTTTTTTGTTTCACATGTGCTATACCCCCTCCCCGCTCGACAGCAAAATTTTGGGGAAAAACGAGAAAGTTCTCGAGAGAGGAACTGGAACAGTAGTAGGAAAATGGGAAAGTCCAAGAAAACAGTAGATAGGATGAGGAAGGGAGATCGTATAAGAGGAGGAAATTAGGGTAGGTCGTATGTTCAGAAATTCTTCCGATCATAGCCTGTAAGGACTGATTATGGTGCTCTAAGTTCCTGTTTCAAAGCGGGGATCTACTCAAAAACGACTCCATCAACTCGCTAGTTGGCGCAGCACCTTCAGAACGCAGGAAAAATCCTATCAGTACTAGGCGCTCAGTCTGCACATTGACGAATCTCATTGAGGAATTCAAGAGGGAAGGGTAAGGTTGACTCTTTTTGGCCTTTTTCGATTTTTCTAGTAGTTGACTTTTCGGTTTCTGGCGCGATTTATCCACCACCTATACCTAGAGGTCTTGATGCCGTTTTACTAGTACAATTAAGTTGATTGGACCTCTTCTGCCCCCTCCTCCCTCATCCGCTGCTGTACTGGATAGCGATGGTGGACTGGTGTCGTGGAAACTTCCTTTTCGCATACCCATGATATTCCCAAGCGCGACTTGGGGATAAATTACTTTAGGTTACCTTAGCTTTTATCTATCGAAATATAATTTTTCATATTCTTGGATGTCTCTGTGCCATGTAAATGCAAATTTGTGATAATTATGTGCTAAAAACGTTAATTCCCTGAGGAAAAAACCAACTGACTGTCATCCTGCGAATGAAGTGATAAGTAGATTGATTACCTTTGGGGTCAGCTCTTGCAAGTGTTTCAGGGTGACAGCGAGGTGCTACAGAGCTCCTACGACTACAGTAAAGCTCCCTACCGTACTGCGACTCACTGGTTAGGGAGGATTTCGTTTTCCGTTGCATCACTATTTCTTTCCCGGAAAAGCTCGTCCATCTTTCCTTCATTATTTTTCTTTCGCATAATCTTCGGCGTCACTCCTGCACTCCTGCAAAGGACAGAGTGCATAGCGGACAAAACAAGTAGCCAGTTATCAGGCATTTGCAAGGAACCAAATTGGAATTCTGATGCATTCTTCATGTGGCATTTCTATGAACCACAGTACTGAGCAGAACTCACCTAGGCGCTTCTATCTGCTGTGACGTCACAGTACTTGTTTCATTCTTAGGCTACTCATTACCGCAGGCCTAGTGCGTTTGCAACACGGAATCGTTGATGAGTCTCATATTCTGTGAAGCGCATGTTAATCACTTAATTAAGAATCCAGTTGGAAAGGCAGTGGGCGGAGAGAGGTGTCGGAGAAATTGACTTTGGTAGCTCGCTGTCCGCGGTCATGCGTCACAAGTTAGATCCATATTTCGATTAAACTCGGTTTGGCGACGGGGTAGGGGAGGGGGCAGGCATGTTTCAATCTCGTTGTTCCCCATTTTATGTTCATTGCTAAATGCCCCTCCCCTCCTCCGTCGCCGATCTGCGCCGAAGTTTCTTTTGATCTACTCATTGTAAAAGAGGTCCTGATGACGGCGCTCCTGTCTTTAGTTACACGCACCACTTCGGTTAATTTACATAGAAGGACCAACGCCAATCTAGTCTTAGTGTAGACGGTTCCCAAATATTGACGCTACTAAGTGCCGTTATATTAATTCGCGAAAGGCATAGCAAAAATTAAATATCCATCAATTAACTGGATCCTCTTAGTCTGTTGTATGCCATGTCTAGGTTCGTTGGAATCTATAAATTTTTCCAGCCTGAGGTTTTGATTAGAAGGTCTTCTGTGGGACCCCTAAACATAGCTCAGGGTTTAGGTGTGGCCCTCTCTAAGCCACAGACCTTCTGTCGATGACCTCCTCGACGGTCCCAGTAGAAAGTCTCTTGCCCAGACTAGTTTTGCCGGCGACAATTGAACGATTGTGTCCTAGGCATTCTGAATTTGAATTTGAATTTGAAAATTTGAAATTTAGCAGTGATGTCACAGTCAGCCCAAGCACTTTTCTGCTCGCTTGTAAGCGCAGCGCTAGAGTTTCCGCTAACTTGGCCTGATATATCCCTGCTGATGAGTTACAACTAGTTATAATACTGGCGTAGTAGATCTACAGTGATTCCATGTGAGTGGCATTAGTTTTGCTTCGCTTCTTGTCATCGATGGCCGCCGTTTCATGTAGGGAAGGGAGCTAGGAGAACTGGTCTATTTAAGTTGCGACCTTACGACTATTGGCTGGGTGTTTGAGCTCTTTCTCTTTCACAGACAAATCATTTGAGCGTTCCAATATCTTTCTTACAGTACTCTCAGGAAGGACGTGTTCCAATCTGTCCGTGACCAGAGAATTCGTTCACGCGCTCTTGGTTTCTGGGGCAAGAAGCAATTCCTCAGTTTTATGGGTATGTTCATGCCACATCTGAAATCACATTCGCAGCCTACATGATGTATCAATTGAAGCGTTTTGGGATTTCATAAAAATGGTCGAAATATGGCCGGGCTTGCATCGAATATAAAAGCATGAAATGCAATTTGTTGGGACATTATTACTTGCCAGTACTCCCTGGGTGGTCCGATGGTCGTGGACTTTGTAGAACAAGAACGCAAACTCAGTACTGGATCTCTAACACTTCAGGTTAGGAAGCAACTGTACGGGAGAGCAGTTCGGCGACGGGGGGGCCATATTTGCAGTTTTGCTAACTTCCTCACCAGACTATGTCGACTCAATCCTGAGGAAGTCATCTTGTGAGCCTAACAAGCGACGTGGAAGGTTTGAATCGCATGGTTGTGCCTAGACGGAAGCTTGCTCCAGATTCACCAGGAGTTGACACTGTTCGACAGACGAGGGCCACGGTGAGAGCTTGTGAACCGGAGCCAGTCAGCCGGAGCAGCTGACTAAAATAGCACCAATGCGCGGCTCCGTCGTCCGAACTTGCGCCCCAACCGCCTAAGTTTATCATCACTCGTACCAGGATTTGACTTCTTTCATATTGCCGGAAGCCTTTCAGGTAGTACACACATTTCGCTTCGGAACCTCGTATCGTGCCTTAATTTTGCATAAAATTAGCTCGCGAGCTCGAAGGAAAAGTCCTCCAGTGCTTGTCATTTGCGATATTGCTTCCTATTCTGTGATTTGATAAAGTTTGTATATGGACATTGCCTGCTGATTTGCATGTTATTTTATTTCGTGTACGTCTTCCGTTGAACACTGCTCGCGTCGTTATTGATTCCTTGACTGAATGGCTCTACTTTCGCCTTTGAAAAGTTTTATTACAGTAGTTCTCTCTACAACAAAGCAAAATGGCCGTGGAAATGCAGCAAATCATTGAATTAATTCTGTGCATCTTTCTACAGATGCAGTTTACTTTCAATGACTGATCTGCTTTCAATAAGGGACTGCACAAGCACCAAAACTGGGGAAAGCTCCTGACAGAGCCAACTTCAGGGGGGTGGGAGAGCCACGACTTCCTTATAATTAAGCTTGGTTTGTGGGTAACTGTGATGCCAATATTGGAGAACGCGTGCGCATGAACGTTCCTTTTGGTGTGTTAGCCCAGGACACATCGGCGGCTGTCGCGATTTTTATCCGGCGCTATACCTATATTACCTTCCCCCCACCCGCCCGCTGTGGGCATTTTTTGAGGAAAAGTTGAAGGAGTTCTGTTGGAAAACTCGTAGGAAGCGGCAGATTTCTGGGAATATGGGGAGGAGAGAGATAATCATACCAGAGGAGGGAATTTTGAGGAGTGAGATCGTATTCTGTGGAATTGTTCCTCATCGGCAGAAGACAGCACTTTATCAGAGATCCCCATTCTCCGCTACCGTAAGAACCATGGTAGACGACTATCAAAGGTAGACACTCCCTTGGCACGCAGCGGACAAGTTCAGGGGGGGGGAGGGAATTATTGAATATCTTGGAGACTTTTCGACAGCTTGTCCTCCATGACTTTCAATATAGGTTCATCCTTTCTTTACCAGTTGGGCGCTGTCGAACTGAAATGGGACCCAGGAAATAAGGCCTATTTCGACCATCCGCCAGCTTTTTCTTTTCGTTAACTCATTTCCTCTCTATATGTTCCTGCTGCGTCTCCCCTTCCAATAAAACGCACCTTCTCTTTCCCACGTAGAAGTTTCCTCACCAAACGTAACGCTATAAGCAGCACCTTAGCTATCCCTCCAGTTGTCCCAGGGAGAAATAAGTCATGGGAAGGATTGACTGCATGAATGCGGTTTAATCGGATGCAAAGGTGGTTGAAGGATGGGCACGAGACTGTTCACGCTGGGCCAGACTGCACATCTGTTTGTCTGCGTCCCTCACCTAGATAGTGTTCGGAAAGTTTGGAGTGGTGGTTCAGTGGTACAGTGCCCAAGCCACGAACGTTCTATCATGTGAGACGACGAGCTGGGCCAGATTCGCTCGAAAGGATAAGCACACAAATTTTTACATCGACTGCCCCCCCCCCCTCTCCTTCTCCGCCTGTTCCTGTTTTGGACATATCGCATTCAAGAAGTCTGAATGAAAGGCGGATGCGTGGCGTGTCCAAAAGAGGAATTGAATTGATCTGCGGCGAGAGCTTTATGCTTCCTCCTTTTGAAAGATTAAAAAACGTACTGTCACAGTACGCGTGGCCACGCCTCCACGTACTCCTCTCCGTCCCTCATTACCTTTGCCTCCTTATCGCGCTCATGCACCTGAATCCTGGTTATCTGTATTTGGTCTGATAGAGCGTGTCCTCATGGCTGCGTTTGGCTCGCTGCCAGATCCATTCTGCATCAACTGTTGAAGCGGGCAAGCGGCAATATCGAGCGATATGATACACTCTTCGCGGAATAAAAAGACCGCGCGGACACACCCCCTCATCCGCGGCGAACCAGGCCTCACACTCTGAATTTTCTCATGTTCCGAAGAGTTTTTTTTTGCTGTAGTAAAGCTCGGAGGTAGTGTGGAGTCTTTATGTTTTTTTTTCACTTTCAATCAATAAAATTTTTTTTCACTTTCAATCAATAAAACTTCTTTATTTAGCCGTTAGCAATCTTCATCCACAGCTCCGACTGCAATATTCACGTGGCTGTGAATATTATTCTGTGCTTCTTCTTCTACTTGCCAGCCATTATCCATGCTCTGTGGTACTGCTTCTTCCGCGGTTAAACAACTTCAGATCACAATTGGATACATCAAATATCGAAGAAAAAATTACTCTGTTATGTAATAGACGAATTGTGTTATAATGAGGTACCCTTTGAAAATGTCACCACAATTCCCTGTACGATCTACGAGCATTCACCGGACCTGCCTTCACCTATTACGCCTCGAATATTTGTGATTTATTAGCACATTTGTATGGAAACGAATAAGATTATCAAAATGAACAACCGTGTTGTTGTCATTTTGAGAAACCGATTTTTGAATACAAATTTCTCGTCGTATGTTATAGACTCCCACTAAAAGAGTTATAAAAGCAGGTGAAACATACGTTCGTGTAAATAAAGGACGAAGTCATGAAACTTGCACTTCAATGCTCATTTTGCTGTGTAAACTTCGTTTAGTAACGACACATTGAGACTTAAAGACAGTTCCCGCGATCAAGTGGTCCGCGAAATGCCTCCGTGCATTTGGCATCGTTGTCCGCATTCGCAGAGAATATACCACTTTCGTCACTCGAAACGGCGAGATAAAGAAGCTAGAGACGCGTGATTATTGCAACCATTGCAACCACGATTACTTTCACTCTGCAAGACAACGGCTTACAAGCGGAATTGCGTGTGTACATAGCGTTGCCTGGAGCGTCGTAGGGTGATTTCCTGTGTCGGGTCGGGAATTGGCTGCACTACGAATGCTGCTGATTGGGTTTGCCGACGTCCGACAAACTCGTCAAGGCGCTGGCCCCACTACTGAGGGGGTCTCTGTTCAGAGTGTTCCCAGGTTTTTTTTTCGCTTCTTTCTCTACTGGGTAGTTAATTATGGGCTACTGATTCATGACTGAGCACCTACCACCCATAAAACTTGATCGCGGGAATTTCTTTACTGGTTACTGAAACTGGAACTTTGTGGGGGTTTTTGCCGTGTGAAGCGAATGCGCAGAGAAAACGGCTGCTGCATGGAAAGGTGCAGAAAGAACTTATCCCGAGCAGCGCACACCGCTCATTGTGGAAAGGGTGCGGGCGTATTTGGCCACAAGGAAGGGATAAGGTGGGCTGCGAGCTCAGGGCTCATTCAGGAGTGGGGAGAGAAGCGATGGTCAGATTTCGTGCGTCATTGAATGATCAAAATAGTTCTTGTTGGCAAGAATACTTGGAGACAGAAGTATAGTATTGTAAGATTGGGTGTGAGGACGGGGTCATGACATGGAGGAGCCACAGGTAACCAATCTAGAAGTTTCCTCTTTCCAAGATCTCTGTGTGGAAGGCAGATGTATGGTGCATTAAAGAGGTAATGAATGAAGCAGAATGAACTATTAGGTTGTCCGGAAAGCTGTCAGCGTTTTGAGTGTTCACTTCAAACGATCATAACGTTCTTAATATTCAACGCGACTTTTAGCCGAAGTAGGCACGCGTTCGACGATCAGCAACAACTTTTTGACAATGTGACATCCATTCGATAAAACCGTCAAGAAAAAACTGGGTAGTAGAGAGTCCACGAAGTCCATATAGGCTTTTTTTTGCCTGGTCCTGATTGATGAAGTATTTTCCAGCAAGGAAGTTCTGAAAATGTTTGAAAAGGTGATAGGGTTGGTGAAAGGTCTGGAGAATATGGCGGGTGAGGTAGAACTTCAACCTCCCAATTCGTTCAATTTATGGATCACCCATCGCACTTGCCCCGAACATGTGGGTGGGCATTGTCATAGAATCGGACCATTTCTGTTGACAAGTGCTGGCTGCAGTTGACGGAATTTTCGGTACATTTCGTCTCAGTAAGACTCTGCTGTGATGGTTTGGCCTGGTGACAAAAAGTTATAGTGGATCACACCAGCCGATGACCACCACACTGTGACCATGACCTTTTTTGGTGAAGATTCGGCTTTGGAAATTGCCTCGGTGGTTCGTCGGCGTCCAACTACTGTCCGTAACGTCTCCTGTTATCATACATGATCCACTTTTCATCACAGGTGACAATTCGGTCCAAAACGGGTCGTTTCTGTTGCGCAAAAGCAGTGAAGAAGAAACCTCGAGACGTGCCAATTTCTGCCGGTCACTCAAATTGTGGGGCCCACTTGTCGAGTTTTTTCACCTTCCCAATGCGTTTCAGACCATCTGCAACACTGGATTTGCCAACGCCTAGCTTTTCTGCAATCTTCCGAACTGTTTGAGATGGGTCGGCCTCCACAAACACCTTCAAATCCTCGTCAGGTATTGCTTTAGGTCGAGGTTTATCTTCAGGGCGACATCTCCTGAGCGAAATTTGTCGAACCGGCAGCACGGTGCTTTCTCTAGCACTATTGGGCCCCCACACCTGGTTAATTTGTTGAGCTGTCTCATTTGCGGATTGACCCCAATTTTTTGTCGAGGAAAAATATCGTCCGAAGTTGCTCTTTTGGGAATGGTGAAACGGCAACCATACCCAATCCGAATACGCGCACACCCGACATTCCTTCAGGATGTACTACTCGAAACGCAAGGGAGAATTAGTTTTTAATCAGCAATGAATGTACGAAAAATAGTAACACAAAAGGCTGAGAACTTTCCGCACAACCTGATATATGCTAATACCTTGGACGAAAACATGTGAATTAGAAGTATACTCAAGTTTTCAACTGAGATGGAAATGGTATTGCAGTGAGTTTTTAGTGTCGGCTGAAACTATCCACAACAAGTACAGCCAACATCCTAGCGATGGAGTGGGCGTGGCTAAGTTCGTCACTTAAACATGGGGGATGCGTTGTTCCCGTAAACCGCAATTGCGCCACGTTTGAATAAATGAATGTATGAACATTTGAAAGCAGGAGCCACGGCTCGGGGTTATTTCATGCAAAGAAAAACCAAGTTATTTAGGGCTAGAGCACAGTTGATCAACATCGAGCCCAGGGTCTCACTACCTTGCTTTTGACCCTTCAAATGTTCTACTCTCAAGTCTTTTATGGGTATTCAAAAAAGGGCTGCTTCAAGAGTTCCTTGCTCGCTTTGCCACATATCGCAAGCGTGCTCAAGCAACAGCAGAGAGCGTTTTGAACCTTCGCGCTCAACTCCCGAGAGCGCGCGAACGTTCAAAATTCAGTTACCCGATTCGATATCAACTTATTTTTGAGGGGTCGTACCGAGACCCCTCTTTTGGAACGGGCTCGTATTCAGCAGAAATGTCACCCAGCGTGATGGCGTGCCCGGTCGCAAAGTTGAGGATGAACTTCTTCAAGGGAAGAGGATTTCATGGTGAATAAGCCATCCGTCATTGGTGAAAGGTTGTAATTTGTAAGCTCTCACCGGTCATATAGTCTTGTGCGTGAGAGAACAGAGAACAGAAAGAGTTCGCTATTAAAGAGACTGAGTTTAAGTTGCCCTTAGACCAGACTTAATGTTAGCATTGACAAGGGTAAGTTGAGTTGGCGCAGTCAACACTGACGGATCCTCAAAAGATGCCCTAACGGTTTTAATCTCCAATCAATTTTTTGGGTCTTCTACCTCATGCTTGGCCGCAGTGGGTGCTCAAGCCAAAGGTATTATATTCCCTCTTGGGAGTGGCACTAATCAGTCGACCATGCATGGAGGGAAGGCATAGGCTAAACTGATCAGCGAGGAAAGCACAGTGGCGTACCTGGCTCCACCCAAATGATGAACGCGGACTGCGGTGCCGGGTACAGCATGGGGATGTGCGAAATGTCGGTGTGAGTACGACCCCCCCCTTCGAATGGGGTCCAGGCACGACCCCCCCCACCTCCACGGCTTTTTCGCCGACGACGAGCGATGAGTATATAGTCGGCGAAAAAGTTGTCGAGCGGGGGGTACAATAAGGGTATAAGTCTATATATTAGGTTGTCCGGAAAGGAATGCGCGTTGAATTTTTTGAACTTGTCCATTTTTTTCTCTCCTACTATAGAAGATTTTTGGAGACAGTTTTGTCTATTAGAAAGAGATTTTTATTGTGCTTCTTTTGATATATTTTTGTCCATGTCTACTTTGCTTTTTTTGGGGAAAAAAAGTTGGGAAGAGCGGGTGCCGCACCAGCTGAGCGACGCAAACAAGGCAACACGAGTGGCAATGGCCGGAATTCTTCTTCGTCGCTCCAAG